AGAATGAAGTCTGGACAATATGTAAATATCTCAGCCCAACAACAAATAATATACCACCTTTCAAATGGGAACAACAAATTTGCTGTCCGCTAACACTGTAATTCTGGTAAAGCTGCCTTGTTCACATAGCCTTATAGGATTGTATAAAAATGAAAACCATTAAAGTGCCAAAACTTCTTACATCCTATTTATTAGAATTAACATAATTGGCTTTTTTTGTTAGTGTGTTATATTTCTAAGGAGGGTATTGTATTGTACTCAGATTAGACCTAAAACTTTTTTTTTATTAAAATTTAATTGCTAAATTTAATATCTGTTACAGAAAGATTAATGAACAGCTCTTCATTTGCTTTACGCTCTTGTAACAGTGAAAGTACCTATTTACGTTATTACAGCGAAGCTATCATGTCAACAGCTAATATACAAAAGGCTGCCTTATTCTGTAAGCAATTTCGTTCAAACAACTAGAGACTACTTGGTGGTATATAAAATTTAGTAATATAATAAATACTATATAGATATATCCAACAAACCTAAAGGATGATCAAATTTAAGTTGTCTACAATCCATACTAATATTAAAAATACGAAAGTGTATCTGTCTGTTACTTCTTCACGCTTAAACCGCTAAACCGATTTAGATAAAATTTTGTATAGAAATAGTTTTCGTCCTGGGTAAGGACATAGGATAGATTTTATCACAGAAATCATCCTTTAAGAAGATGAAAAGGGGGTGGAAGTCTGTATGGGGAATCAATAACCGGTTAACCGATTCAAATGAAATTTTGTATGGAGATAGTTTGATTCTTGATATAGGACATAGGCTACTGTTTACTGCGATAACCGACATAAACGGGGGCGGAGCCGCAGGCAAAAGCTAGTGGTATATATATATATTTTTATAATATTTATTTATTTAGAGGATTTTATTACAAAATAATATGTTAGCGCCATCGTGGCTTATTCTAAGATACTGACTACTCGTATGTTATGATAGGAGACAGAGGAAGTCGATGTTATTCAAATATCTCAAATACGAGTAGGTCTATCGCCGCATTTGAAGTAGGGTTACTTAGAATACTAAGTCCTACATCGTACACAATAAGAATATATTTGATCATCAACGAGTTTTTGACACAATCCATCAGTAAGTGTTGGACATCAGCAATTACTCCGCAGGTATCACAATCAGGCGTATCAACCTTTTTTAATGAGAGGGCCAAACTTTCTAGATGGATAGTGCCCTTAGTGCGGCCTATGCGCTGTAACAATGATATTTCTCTTTAACTTAATACATGGTTAAAAGACAACAATTTACACGTTAATATCGGTAAAACTAAACTTATACAGTTCCAAACATACAACAGCAGACGTCACCAATTAGAAATAAGGTATGCAAATGACGCTATAGAAGAGGTTGAAAGTGCTACATTTTTGGGTATAACGTTGGATAGACATTGCAACTGGAAAGAACATATCGATACACTATGCACTAAACTGCAAAGATTTGTATATATTTGTACAGACTGACTCGCGTAGCTGGTATCAATGCTGCACTCTATGCCTATCACGGCTACATAGCATCAATTCTCCGGTACGGCATTATTATATGGGGTAATTCTGTTGATATCATTAAAGCATTCCGAGCCCAGAAAAAATGCATTAGATCAATAACTAAAGCCCATCCATTAGAAAGCTGTGTCCCACTCTTCAAACATTTAAAAATATTACCACTCCCATCTTTATACATATTCGAACTCTGTATCTTTGTACATAAAAATAAAGCTTTATTTCCAGTACATAATGATGTTGTTACAAGAAAAAGCCGAAATATCCACAAATTATGTGTACCCCAACAAAGGATTAAATTATTTGCCAATAATGTTTACTGTATGGCAATTCGTGTTTATAATAAATTACCTAATGTTTTTAAAAACCTTAACTTCATGACATTTAAAAAGAAATTATTTGACTTCCTATTGTATAAGTGTTACTACTCAACAAATGAGTTTTTAAATGAAAAATTTGACTCAAATTATAAATTAGACGACGACTTGCCTTTATATTCTCAATAATTAAATTCAATTTAATACCTATAACATTGCTTTGAATAATTTTTTACATTGTATTTTATAATCCTCAAGTATATTTAATAATTCTTGACATATTTTTTAATCATTTTTGACATTGTATATAATAATTCTTGACATTGTATTTACTAATCCTTCCTGAAAATATTTGTACGCTGGAAACAGCAGAATATTATGGATGTCATATTATGTCTAACACCTGTACCTCAACAATATTCTGACAAATAAATATATTATTATTATTATATTATTATACAATTAATAAACCAGCAACAACAACATAGCAGGCTGATGTTGAATTGTTTTATACCAAATACCCTTTTCCTTACTCCTCTTATCGAAATATCCTTCATAATGTTTTTAACATAGCTTTTTAATGATGCTTAAGTATTCATAGTTAGACATTTTAATTAACTAATTTATTCCGTCTGTACACGCTAGTTTAGCCACCGAATCAGCCTGCTCGTTACTCCGAAGCCCAATATGAGAAGGAATCCATTGCAAACTCAAAGTCTTCCCAGATGAATTGAATTCATGTATTTGCTTTAGCACCACATAAGCTATCGGTGCATCTCTGATATCAGAGGCGCACCAAGCAATATGCTACACAGCACTTTTACTATCAGTTAAGATAACTATTCTGTCACTATTTAGCGAAACAGCTTCGCTCATAGCCTTTGAGATTGCAATAAGTTCCAGAGACATAATGGATGCACAACAGTCAATTTTAAACATAGCTGATGTTCCATGACATGAATCAAAATGAGCAGCCCCGTATCCCGTATTATTTTTTTGCCCATCAGTAAAAAGGAAGTGCCATCCATAATATTTTTCATGTGATTCATAATCAATTAAATTTAATTTAATTAATTCATAATCAATTCTGCTTCTTATTCAGGAAATGAATAATAGTATGCGAAGGTGTTCAGGGTGAACGCCCCAAGATGCACCTGTGAGTATTTTAAGTCGATTTAAGTGTTTCATGATCTTCGATGAAATTTCATTAATATGTTTACCCCATAGTAATAACTCTATCTAGCCAAAACCCCAAATATTTAAAACTCTCAACACATGAAATAATATTACTGTTGATAGTTATATTAATATCAAGTTTTTTACGACCTTTGCTAAAAATACAAATTTTAGATGTAGTAGGAGCTATCTCAAGTCCAATTATTGTAATTAGATATAATTGATACTTAATAAAGACAATATTTAATTCATCAACTATCATATTTAATAAAGACTGTAAATTATCTTGGCAAATATTTAAATTACTGTGTCTTTGAGAGAAAACAAAGTCGTCTGCATGTTGAGAAACCGTAAAACCTGTGTCAGAAACAAGTTGACACATATTATGTGTAGCTAAATTTAACAATAAAGGTGGAAGAGGATCTTCCTGCGGTAAGCTAATACCAGACTATCTAGCATCAATCACAAGATTGAAGACTTGAAGATAAAAATAACCAAAGATATTTACAAACATAAATTCCTAACCCTAAATTGTCCAAAATGCGTATCATATTATCAACTAAAACATTATTGTACTCATTACCTACATCAATAAAACAAGCATCCGTAGGCAATTTATTAGAAAAACCAATTTGTATGTAACAATTCTGGTTAAATTATCATTATTGACATTCCTATACGAAATCCCGTTGTGTGAGTTGATAATATTCTTTTATTTTGTATATACCATTCGATTCTCTTACACAATATTTTATGACAGATTTTGCAAACACATGATATTAACGAAATTGGGCTTAGTTTGATTTGCGCATTTTCTATATTGCCAGCTTTTGGTATAGGAATTATTAGAAGAGTACGCCACTGTTTAGGAATAATACTACTCTTGAATATTTCTGTGTAAATACTGAGTAGAAACCTTTTTGCTATATCAGGGGCATGATATATCTTAGAATAAGTTATACCATGGCTGCCCGGTGCAGTATCGGTCCTTTTAATGCATATATTTAATTCCTGTAAAGTAAAAGGGTACGCTAATAACTGTTTTTTTGATTTAATAATAGGAGGGCAATGTAAAACTGTATCTGGTGTGTAGTGTAGTAAGTGTATATAAGAGGTCCCTTTGCTAATTTTCTGGAATATAAAACTGGTTGACTAAACTTAAACTGGATAGTTAAAAAAAATTACCTAACCATCGCATCTTATACCACATATCTGAGGCTGAATGAAGTCTTTTCATTAATGTTTGCACAGAAATTATTCCAACTTTCTAGTTTAGCTTTATAAATTAATTCAAGGGTTTCTTTAATTTTATCTTGAAGATTTTTAAAATTGCTAGGTGTGGGATTCTGTCTAAATTATTTAAGAGCTAGACGTCGTATAGCAACTGCTTTGGATAGCGTTGGATTCCAATATTTCTCGGGTTTGAAATTTGCAAGTTGATTTGAACATATTTTAATTTTAGGGATATTTTTATTAGCACTTGAATGTAATAGATTTTCAAAATGGTCGTTCAACATTTCTATTATCTAAAGAAATGTCACTCAAATAATCCTCAAGACCAGACTTATATTTATACCAGCCAGATTTTTTTAAATTTAATTTGTCTATATTGTTTATATAATTTTGACCATTGGAATTGATTATCATCTGAATAGTCTTGGTATACTCGTATATAAATATGGTGAAATAAAACAAATGATGAAGATCACACATGCCAGTGTTGATCACAGATGTCAGTATTTGAAAAATCGAAGTTCAGGCGTGTTGTAGTAGGCTGAAAGCCGATCCCAAAATATTTCGGGAAAAGGCTGAAGAGAGGAGATTAATGCTTGAGTAATCAGGTAACATACATTAAAAATGGTGCCAACGAACGCAACAAAAAGGAGAAACCCTCTCTCCTTTTTACGAAATCGGTTTACAGTATAATAAAAGTTCATACCGTCAGCATAGTTATACGGTGTCAAGCGTCCATAAGGTGTCTGTGGCATTCCCCAACTAGGTCTCTGAAGATTATTGCAGGAACCATCAATAGATCGGTAACGTGAATTAGTGCAAAACGCCGGTGTCAGGCCACATGTTCGTGCAGCCGGATCTGTACCAGCTCCTACTGCTTCAGGAGGATTACTGAAACTGTAAAAGAAGGAAAACTTAAACTTAAACTAGACAACATAATTATTAAATCGTGTCTCAGGTGTATCAGCGTTTAAAACGCCAATGAAAATATAAAAAGGATAAAAAAAGATTTACTTAAAAACAATCATCAAATAATAATGGTGATATGACATGTTCAGCAATTTCTATACATAATACCTTATACCTATAAAAAGCCTTAAAATGTTACCAATGTTATGAATTTATTAATATTACAAACCACCAAGCAAGCTTTGTACGACAGCAAATGTGCGTCTACTCGTGTAACGGTTATCTAACACAAAACAGTGGTAATAATACCAATTTGAGCTACGCATATTCTTTAAAGGAGTATATTGACCAGCGTGCATTCACTTCGTAAATTTCGTGTTATGACTGTGATGACTAATTAGTCTAACGTGAAACGATATTGTCATGAAACCAACATTTTGCTTTTTTTATCATTGTAGTTACGCCTCGTCTAACGCTGCATGAGAGAAAATTATATAAGGTGACATAACATTATTTTTTTGGACGTGAACAACATGAACTACTAGAGATCCTTATCCCTGTGATACTTAATAGAGATCTGTTTACATAATTATGTTCTTAAATTAATACTTAGTTTAAAATATTTGTTAAAGAATTAAATTTCCAAAAATGTTTCAGATAAAACGAGAAAAAAAGAGTGTGTGTTTACAATTCACACACGGCAGAAGTGGAACTTCAGAAAAGTAGCCTACAAAGAGAATGAGATAAATATAGAGTATCGGGAGTGTTAGGATAATTAAAAGGTTTATTATTTTTATAATGTTAAGCTTAAAAAGTATTTTAAATGTTAATACAAAATATTACATTTCATGTATTTACGAATTTTAATACGCAAATGCAAAAAAATAAAACACGAGAATGATACACCACGTTGTTTATGACATATTTTCTGAAGGCTTCGTTGTACGCAGGCGCAAAGACACGTGATAGCATAGAGGAGACGAAGATTACAGAAAACACAGTATACTTGTAATCTATCTCATTGTCTCGCAGGCTTAATCCAATTTATGAATATGTTTGTCTCTTTTTACTGGCGCTATTTCGTTTCATCGAATTTTCAAATCACAACGGTGCTAAAGAAGTTTCACTTCAAAAATACTTGTTAAATGTAATTTTTTATATTTAATTTAGTACTACTACTACAATTTCAAATTGAATTCGTTGTTTGTCAACAAACTGTTGGTCTAGTAACTACTAGGCAACGACCTTTGACGACACCAGTCAGGACTGAGGTCGTGATGATTTGTTCTGCGTCCGTGTGTAATTTACTTATAATTTAGCGGTCTAGTTACCAAAGTGTAGGCACTGCTGCTGGCTGTCTCCGACGACCGTGGGTGAGATGTGTCAAGTTATTATTATTATTGGATCAGTACTGCAGAACGTATAAAACGATATGAATTTTAGATAGTTAAGTACACATTATAGATAATTAAGTACACAAAACTGATACCCAGCATCTAAATTAATTTGATTATTAAAAACAATGCAATGTCTTATTAAAGTAAATGAAATATGAATGTAGGATAAAAATATATGACTGAGGTTAGTTACAGATATTTTTGATAGTTAACCTTTTTACCGGTGCACTGGTGAATACGCCTACGTGTTCCATTGTGTCAAAATTCGTTGCGCTGTAGACAGAATCGGTGCATTCACATTTACAACAAATCGTGCAATTACACATGCATTAGTGCGTTTTCTATACCCTAACAACATGCATCTAACGACATCGAAAATAAAGCAGTCAAGATTACGGATATACATAACAACAATAGGACCTTGGAGTGAATTTTATTTCATTTTTTTATTATTCTATAGCCAAAATGTTTAAGTAAAAGTCTAAAAGTACCAAAAAGATTCAAATTTTACTTTGTTTATCTTCAACTGCAAACACAGTTGATAAAGATTTAAGTCCAGCATTGCAGGTAAAAGCAGAAATACTAAAAAGCTCACTATGAAAGCCTACTCTTACTCCTGAGTCTTCAGTTATTTATTATTATTATAAGTCTCACCCATAACCACCGACATTACTTCTCTCAGGAGGTATACTGAACGATATTATTTTCACAAACTCTGCTCCAGGGCTATTCAATGTAATTCCTCCTATCGGCTGTTGAAACAAAGAGGGCCCCGACCGAAACGCCTGTTGAAAGCCTCGAGTAAGGCCATATAATGTCAGCGTGAGGCATATAACTGTTGATATGGCCATTTTATCTGCAATCAAAGAAAGTTGTAAAAGTTACAAGATGGTTTTATATATTATTTTTTTTTGTCTTTTCTCGTAACTATGAAAAAAACATCTATTTACATTACATAATCAGGAAGATAGTTAAAGGAATATTAAGGTATCAAATTTAGGGGTAGCCTATATTTGTATACACGTTTTCTTTTGTCGAAGATACATATTTACATCCCTCTATCTTATGTTTCCATAATAGAAATTTCGATGGATTGCTCAAGTTATAATCCAGAAATAATAGGTCTTTACCTAAGAAATTGCCGTTTTGCACGCAATAAGTGAAAGTACTTATTTTTCCAAACTTTTTTATTTCTGTTATTCGAAGTAATCACCCATGCAATCGATGCATCTTTGCCAACGCATTGGCAGTTTATTGATGATTCTTGTAAAAATCAGCTGGACGGGAGGCAACAAACTCTTCAAAGGCATTTTGTACTGCCTCACGGGAGTTGAATTTTTTACTAAAAACTTGTCTAAATTTTGGAAAAAGTAATAGTCGGTAGGTGCAAGGTCTGGTGAGTATGGCGGATGAGGGAGAGCTTCCAACCCCAGCTCTTGCAGCTTGGAGACTGTCTGTTGCGCAGTATGGGGTCGCGCGTTGTCGTGAAGGAGCAGAGGGGACGACCGATTGACCAAAGCTGGTTGCAGATGTGACCACCAGACTCAATAAACTGCCAATGCGTTGGCAAAGATGCGTCGATTGCATGGGTGATTACTTCGAATAACAGAAATAAAAAAGTTTGAAAAAATAAGTACTTTCACTTATTGCATACAAAACGGCAATTTCATAGGTAAAGACCTATTAATATGTACTTACAACCCGGGTATCACACTGAGACCTCAGAGTAAGTAAATGTGCATTATTCTTCATGAATTTTCCGATGATAATTTTTTACGCTATTTCATAACATTTTAAGTTATTCTTATGAATTCTCCCAATACTAGATATAAAACATTAATATTGGATATTTATTAAGTTTTAACATTTTCGATATACTTATACAAATCACTACACACTTATCGAAAAATAATCCCTTATTTTTTTTATTTAATAATTTCAGAATAAGGTTTTCTGATTATTTTGGTATTCATCTATGTAAGCCACTAAATTCATTCATTTCATCCCGAAATTCAATTCAGCTAAATGAAGTACGGACAAAGAAGCATTTACATGTAAAAAGCCTCCGAATGTTGCGAAGAAAATATTTATTTATTTATTTATTTCAGTTAGGAAAACCAACAGCTACAAAAATGAAATGGTCAGATTAATATGCTACATCAAGCCAATTACAGGTTTTCACGAATAGAATCATTGTAAATAACAGAGGTTCTGGAGCACTAACTAATACGACACTACACCTATACAACTATACAATAAATAATAATCGATCTAAAAATATTACGATCTAAAAAATTCAAGGTTTAGCATACCGCGCACAACATTGCTTTTGGTATTAAAGGGATCAAGAGAGTATTCCTTGCACAATTTATTGAAATCTCCGCTCGCTCGCACAATATATGAATTTTTTCTATAGATTGAGGAAGAAATTGGAATAGAAATGGGTGGATTAAATCTAATCGACTTACGGGGGACATTAAAATTTAACTTTTGCAAAAGGCTAGGACAGTCAATCTCATTAGAAATAATTTTCAAAAGAAAAGAACAATCAGCTAATCGGCGTCGATTTACAAGTGGCTGGATATGAAATTTCTTACACAGACCAATGTAATTGTTTGAGCTATAAGGAATATTTAAACGAAAACACAAGAACCTCAGAAAACGTTTCTGTATGTTCTCAATGCGATCAATGTACTTATGATAGCAAGGGTTCCAAACTTGCGAGGCATACTCCAGGTGGCTCCTAACAAAAGTACAGTAGAGAATTTTTAGCGTTTTAGCTTTTACGAAACATTTGGCAATTCTCATTACAAACCCCAAAGCCTTGGAAGCTTTAGCAATAATTTGCTCAATATGCACATCGAACAGTAGCTTCGCGTCATGGTAAACACCAAGGTCACGTACCCCATCACATCTTGGCAATACTTGTCCCTTAAGTTCGTATGGTGCTAGTATTGGTGACCGTTTTCTACCAAACGTGACGACTGAGCATTTAACGGGGTTTAGTTCCAATTTATTTAATTGACAGTAGTGATCAAGTCGTGATAAGTCTGATTGAAGCGCCTGCACATCGTTTGCCGATGATATTGCAGAATAGATCTTCATATCATCAGCAAAACAGAGCAGATTAGAACTTTGGAAGCAGGAGTCGATGTCATTCACGTAAATCGTAAAAAGCAATGGACCCATTAAGGAACCCTGGGGCACGCCGCTGGGGATAGAAACCCAGCCAGAAATATAATTACTGACAACTACAGCCTGAGTCCGATTTTCAAGATAAGAGGAAAACCACCGAAGTAAGTCCCCCCTTATGCCACTGTTAAACAATTTTATTTTCAGTATGCTGTGATCTATTTTATCGAACGCTTTGCTATAGTCAGTATAAATAACATCGACCTGAGCACCATCATCCATGCCCTGCGTCACATAATCATTCAGTAGTACCAAGTTTGAAACGGTTGAACGTCCTCTTAAAAAACCGTGTTGTGATGGATTAAAAGTATTTTTAAGCGCCGCGTACACTTGATCGTAAACAACCTTTTCAAAGACTTTTGCCAAAACACATAATTTGGAAATGGGTCTATAATTAACAATTTCAGTTTTTGGCCCTTTCTTGTGCACGGGTGTAACAAACGCAGACTTCCAAATCCGAGGAACAGCACAAATAGTAAGTGATTTCTTAAATAACAGCGATATCGGCAAAGCTACAGTTTTAGCACATTTTATTATAAATTTAGGTGATAGGTAATCAGGGCCGGCTGACTTCAATGGGTCAAGGCCACTCAGAATTTTAGTAATATACTCCAAATTAATTTCAATTGAATTAATATCACAAGATGTGTATGATGTACTTGCAGTACAGGTATTCATAGCAGTATCACTAACTGGATCAATGAAAGTGGAATGGAAATGTGAAGAGAACGCATTGCATATTTCATCAGCAGATGAGATCGATACGCCACCATAATTAAAGTAACTAGGTATTGAATTAGATTTAGAGCGTTGCTTTACAAAACTCCAAAAATACTTAGGATTCCTTTCAATAGATTCTTCAGTGGCAGCTAGGTAATTAGAGTAGCAGTCAGCCTCAAGTTTCTTCACCCTATCACGTAAAAGCCTAAACGTAGCCTGGTCAGAAAGTCTGCCATATATCTTAAATCTACGTAGGTATTTCGATTTTTCTTTTATTAGTCGTTTAAGTGAAGAGGAGTACCAAATCGGATAAGAATTATAATATATATTCTTGCTAGGAACATATTTATTTTGAATATAAGCTAACGTATTATAAAAATAGGTCACACATTCGTCGAGCGTCATATTCATAAACACGGTATCCCAATCCACAGCCGCCAATTCTCTATTTATCGAAATAAAATCACCCTTCTCATAAGTATACCGGGTGTACGACGCAGGAATCAAACGTGTGTACTCCGCGGAGTTCAAATTAATTAAAAGAGCAGGGTGATATTTATCGACAGCTACCAAGGGCACAGGACATTCACTCACCGACACACAATCATTACACAAAACCAGGTCCAAAGTCTTCCCGAAGTTGTTTAATATACCATTGTACTGTCTCAGACCTAGAATACGCATCTCATCCGTTAACATATGCTCGTCACTGCTACATATGTTTACGGGTTGCAAAACATTGTCCGTTAATTGCCATGAAATGCCACTTAAGTTGAAATCACCTATGATTAAAAATTTATCATCTGAGTTATTTAACATTGTACTATTCAATTTGTTAAGAAAATCAGACAATTGTTCCGAAAAAGAGAATCCCTGACTTTCCGCACATAAGTAAATGACACTCACGTTTAGCCTGAAGACCTCCCTTGTACCTGGATAACGTAGGTTCACTGTTACCCATAAATCTTCCGCTGAGGAGTGAAAAGATGGTTGGGGCATTGCAGATATCTCTTTACGAATAGCTATTAACACCCCACCTCCGCGCGTTTGACCAGTCCGACAATAATTACGATCACGGCGCCACACAATATACTGATCACTAAACAATTCTGAATCCGAGATACTATCCACTAACCAAGTTTCCGTTAACACAATCGCATCATATAAGTTAACACACACTTCCCTATAAAAAACATCAGTCTTGGTACGAAGCCCTCGCACATTCTGGTAGTATATGCGAAGATTCTTAATATTATTCTTAGCCATTAAAAACTTTAGAAGTAATAGCAACTGCCTTAATAACTATATGCAATATGATTCTATGAAAAAATAAAATAAGCGAAGTATATTTTGAATAGTTATTTTTATAAAACTGAGAAGCAGGTAGGCTGCAATAAATATGCAAATACCAAGTAATTGGGTGAGCGAGAAAGCAATGAACTGATTCACATATAAGTGCAAGCAGTGCGAGCAAGAAAAGCAGATTCTGTTTTAAGTTTATATTAGAAATAGTGCAATAACGGATATCTATGACCAGTGAGCGAGAACAGCAGCGACATGTCGAACTTTCGAGATAGGCAGAGATGCTAAACCTTTTACAAATGTTAAACATTTTAGTAATTATTAAACACTTCATATGGCGAATTTTAAAAACAATGACATTATAATTTGAATATTTAACACAATGCAACGAATATTGATTAACGCAGTAGATTAGGATATTTTGTTTAAATCTTTTTCATTGTTTATTACAAGTACATGGTGACCATCAAGCTTACGAACGTGTATTTTCCCGTGTTTAACCCAAATAAATTTATAACTTTTCTCCTTCGCCAATGTCCTAGCCTTGTTGAGTAACTTCTTGGAGGCTGAGTTCAGGTGATCATTTACGTAGACCCTCGTTGCCGGACCCTTCAATCCAAGGTCCTGAGTAGTTAGG